CTTCAACCTTTAAAATTTTTTGTAAATCTTCACTTTTAATTTGAAGATTTACTTTGTGCTTCGATATGCACTTCCCCGTGGACGATACGCCACTGATCTCTGTTTGAGATCGAATTTTTTTTAATTTCAGAATCTGCGCAGATTCTTCTGAAATAATTGTACTTTGTGACCCACTGTCAATCAAAGCCCTCAATGTTTCAAATTCTCCATTAGAAGATTTTATTTGAACACGCGCTGTAGCTAACAACGCTTGTTCCGACGTCATGCAAGTGTTAACTTTTTCACTTTTTTGATTGTTTACATAATTAATATGCAGCATGCTATGGTGATTTCTTTTGCACAGCGAACATGATGTTTCGCTAGTGCATTTTTTACTATGTGTGTGTTTTAGGCATTTAAAACACAGAAACGTTTTTTTAACTTTATCCATTCTTTCAGATGGATTTAAAGCCTTAAATTTGTGACATTGAAATATTGTGTGTCCCATACCTTTACAAATAGGACAACTATTAGCAGACAACTCTTTTATATTGTTGCTAAATATTTTTTTAGCAGGTTTTTCCTCCCTGAATCGAGCTTATCGAATTTAATCGTTGCTCGCAAAAATCCATGACGTCGGATAATTTTTGAATTTCCTTGTTTTTCTTAACATGGCTCTCATATAATTGCAGAGCCTCTTTATTTAATTTTCTGATAATTATATGTGCAAAGATTACATCAACCTCATCAGATAATTGTGCCTTTAATTTTATCATGTGAATTGACTCATTTATAGTGTCAATAAACATTCTTAACTGCCTAACTGAGTCCAAACTTAAATTTTGTAGCTCAAGAAGGCGATTCAATTGATCGGAAAATATTTTCCTTTTATTTTCATACCGCTTGGTTAACAATTCCCAAGCGGTCACATAATTTTCCCCTGAACCTAACAATAAGTGAGAAACTACATTTCTCGCTTCTCCCTTAAGTGAAATCTTAAGGTAAGTAAATTTTAAGGTAGGACTTAGATCCTCTCTTAAATGAATAAGTTCGGTAAATAACTCATAAAACAGGTCCCAGTCTTTGGAGTCCCCAAAGAATGTGGGTACCTTAATTTTTGGAAGTGTTGGCAAATCATCAATTTTTTGATTTGTAACTTCTTCCATTTTTGGCACATTATCCTTAAGTTTTTTCTTCATGATTTTAGTTACAGTTAACACGTCAAATTCTAATTCATTTAAAACATCATCATACATATCAATAGATTCAATTATTTCGTCTTCTTTTATACCAACTACCTTTCTCCAATAAAACATTAACTTTTCTATCCTGAATTCGAAATTTTCCTTTTTTCCGTCATCTATAGCATTAAAAGTTTCATCTAAATACCTTTTTAACTGCTCTATTGATTTTGAAAGTTTGCTAACAGTTTTCGTATCATCCATATCGGAACCAGAAATCTTTTGCTTCTGTTCAGAACATGACGCTTTCTGTTCTTGTTCCATATCGACACTTTCACTCATCTGCTTCTGACTATCCACTGTACTTTGTATTCTTCCTATTATACCCATCATAGCTGCATAGTGGTTTTTCTTAAAATAGTCGTGATCGACTACACCAATTTTTAAGAGCATATCGTTGTTATTCATACATTCTGCTGTCAACAATTTAACTTCTTTAACCTGCTCACTACTTAAAGTTTCAAATTCTTCTAATACCCTTATCATGGAAGTTATTTCTACCTGCCTTTTTATTAAGGCTATTGTCTCTTTGGACATCATGATGTTTTTTTTTTTTTTTTAATGTTAAGTATAAATATGTGAAAATTTTAAATGTTAACTAAAATTTATTTTACTTTATATATGTATAAATATATATAATTTTTTTTAATCTTAAATGAAACTTAGCTGAAGAATCTGAGGTTGTAGTCGGAAGTCGATTCTGACTGCAGTTTGTAATCGACGGGGCTGCAAAAATAATCAAAATTATTATTTAACTTTGTTGATTTCACAAAAAAAAAATTTTATTATATTATTTTTTTTTGTTACACAAAAACATAAAAGAATCTTGTATATCTTTTTGCTTTTTTTATTTTTTTTTATATATACTCCGTACCTTACCAACAAGGGGGGATACAAGAGTTACTTATTTGGCAACCTGTAGCTGTAAGTACTTGTACTTGACAGAATCTTTAAGGTGCTGGTTTATTCTCTGAGTTGCGTTACCATAAAGGGTGCAACTGCAAAGATGTCGAAGGACCAAAATGTAAATGCCTTAACTAAAGCAAGATGAAAAGACATCTACATTTGTTGAGTTCAATATTAAAACTGGATCTTTTTAAAATTGTATGAGATTAGGTAGCTCAACTGTGAAGCAAAACTAGGCTTAGGTCTAGTGCCAACGCGGTGGTATGTGTTTGTGTGTGAGCACACTGGAGCTCTGGTAACAAAATAAGATAACCCATGTGTGTACAATTGGGGTGACATCGGCGACCAACGCCACCCGAGACATCTGTCAGCGTGGGACCTTTTTAAGAGATTTCTCGGCTGTGCACTTAAGAACTAGACAATTTATGAGTTTGTGTCTAAATATCAATTTACATTGGTGTACAAGTGCGGTCGTTAAATTGGTTATAATTACACTTCATGTTTTAGAGCATTCTAAACATTCTGCAAGAGGCCAAGAAAGGTGCCGAGATGTATTACTTTACAATTTTAATTTTCTTAATGTCTATTTTTGTATTCACACATACATACATACATAGGTGTAATACCTTAAAATATGCTTTTTTATTGTTTGTTTTAACTAGCCATGCTTTCCGGTATGACAATGCCTTGCAATTGCCGCCTTACATTTATTTTTCTTACAAAATAAACAAATAAAATTACAGTTATTATTATTACTAAAATTAAAGATGTGTGCCCGGAAAGATGGTGAAATTTTAGTTCTTTTAATTCTAGCTTGTGCGTTTTCAAATAATTTAATTCATTTTGTATGCGGTTTATTTCGTCTGTATGATTAATAATTGGTGAGTCTAATTGGTTCCAAACAATCTTGGGTATTTCGCTGATGTCTCCTATATATGACAAAGACAATGTTCCCTGATCTTCTGTTTCTATACTATGATGAGGAATCAGTATCTTATCATTAACTCGAGCAGTACAATCCGACCTAATTGTGAAAATCCCCTGTTCCGGCAATTCTACTATCTCTAAGCTTGTGGTGCCGCATTGTATCCTAGCCCTTGCATTATTCTCAACCTTAAAAAACCAACTACTTTTTCTTTCCAACTCTATCCAATACGACTTGCTCTCCACTATTGACTTATATATGCAATTTGATGCTCTATTTGGTTTGAGAGGCTTCAATTCACAACTGCCATCGCTGGCACTACTCCAAGGCCAACTTCCTTCACAAACTCTTTTATTAGATTGCCACCTTTGGCACTTATTGAGGGTAGATTCTTTCATAAGGTGATATGCATCTATCTCGAAGTTATAAAGTAAATACTGAACATCGACGTGCACCATAATCATGCGTTCTTCGATTCTGATTGGTATTGGAACAACTTTAAATAACGCTGACGCATGTCGACCAAACAAAGGTATCTTCGCGTATATTATAAGTCTTTTGTCAACAAATAAGCCCCTAGCTGTTAGGCTAGCTCACCTTAGCTCTGTGCCAGTTCTTTTCCCTGGCAAAACGTAATTTTCTGATAAATTATCTTTTATTTTTGAAATCTCACCCTTTAATTGACTGGGCTTTAAAATGTTAGTATTAAGTCGACCATGATTAATATCTATTAATAAGCTTATGATTCCAGATTGTATTTTCTCGCATTCATCTATTATGTTACTTAATTGTTTGGTTATCATGAAGAATTTGATAGATTCTCTGTACACATAATATGATTCTTGTAGTGTAGCAGTCATATTCTCAATTCGCGTATTCATTCCCTTAAAATTCCTATTTACCTCATCAGTGGTTGTTTTTAAAATGTTTGTTGTAGAATCGATTAAAGAAGTTTGTTTCTTACTTAGCTCATTCAGATTGTGCTGATTGCTTAATAAGTTTTCATATTATCCTCCATTTGAACCCTATCGTCTTCATCCATTATCCCAAATAAAATATGATATAGGGATCCCATAAATCCAAATGGAGCTCGCTTATTTCGTGCCCTACTTTGAGCCATGAACAGTTTGTTATTTTCTTCCAAGTCTAACATTTTCTTTTCTGTATTTTCCAAAACTAAAAGGCATTGGTCTTCGAAAGTATGAAGCCTTTCGCAAATCAATTTCATTTTCGGAACCAAATCTTTACCCTTTGTTGGCGTTCGACCCCCAGCGTTCCCAACCAATCACTAAGCCACGGCCTCACCGGGTTTTTATATACCTTGCGGGGGAGTTGGAGAAGATGGAGGGACCACAAAAAAAATGTAAAAGTCATTCTGGGAATAAAACGTATCTTGCATAGACATACTTGTGTTCTTTTTTCTAACGATTTCCCCCGAGATCGCCCACGTCGCCCTCTGGACTCCCCCCGAAGCCTGCGTGCACCTTCATTTTGGTCCTTCGAGCCGGATAAATTAAGCATTGGAGAGATTCCCCCCTCCGATCCAGCTTGCAGCGCGGGAACTTTGAGGAACCAGAATCCAAGCTAAGTACCAGCTTTGCTCATTCGAGAACACTCCGTCCGTCATCTGCATCTCCATCCAAGTATATGTATGTACATATCACCTAAGTCCCATTTTCCGCCAACTCTGGCACCCCATATAGGCACTCCAAAGCCTGTTATCGCTCTTAATTGCCTAAACCACTCATGCTGCCTACTCCATTGGTCCTCTTGCCTGCCTACCGGTCTCCCGGAATCCTTCCAAGCGAGTTTTCTCCCCCTACAACAGGCACCTCATACATATATGTATGAATAGATGTACTGCTGCTGAGATCCGTCGCCATTCCACAGGTGCAAGTACGTGCATATGTATGTGCACACAATCCGTCCCACACAACATAAAACGCCAATACAAGGAAAATATACATGTTTATTTGTTGCGCATATTACAATTATATCCACATAACATACATCGCTCACATCCATATGTATATATATATTTTCACCGGCTTATAAGCACCTTCACATCCATACATAATCGCACGGCTAAAACAAATTACACGATCATTAACTAACATCTGCCCGCATATATAAACTAACCCATTAAATATTTTATTTCCGATTGCGCCGGCGTACAATACATGCATACATAATACATAAATATGCAAATACGCATTCTTGGTGTTGTGTACATTTTATGTTGAGATCGATAGTCCAAGATCGATAAATGTATACAGGTTGGGGGTACTCGTGTTTTTGTTTTTGCCACCTTAGCACGGCTGCTGCCGCTCATGTGATTAATAATTATAATTGATCGCTGTTGTTATTAAATAGTGATGATTGTTGAGGACTATTAATTTATCATTAATAATTATATTTTGCTTGGTAATTAATAAATTTCCTTCCGACAACAAAATCACCCAACGAGTGCGCAACTAAATATTATAATATTTAAATTCCTCTGACTTACGTGTGCGACGAGTATTAGTCCAACTTCAACGTCCGCCTGTGCACTCTTCCCTCCGTGTACCACAGGAATTGCGAACTCTTCCCATAGCAGATCCATCAGCTTAGTATGCCTTCTGGTGGAAAGAGAGTCAGCAAAAAACTAAAGCGTGTAAGCTCGCAGAGTGACGCCAAGCCGCCCAGCTCTTCCGCAGCAGTTACTACACCCACGTCGTCGCGTTCGCCCTCACGCCCGCAAGGTCCGACCACTTCCAAGGTCTGCCCCTCCATATTCGACACCCTCTTGTGTCCCTCACCATCCACGTGCACGGTTCCAGGAACAATGGCCCAATCTGCCGCCAGCTCTGCACGGTCTAGGTTTGTTTTGGCTACAGGCCGGCTCACTCACTTTGACCAGAAACTTAATGCTCCTGATGCGCGCACCCCAACCATCTCTCTTTCTCAAGTCCGCCGGGAACAGATCCGAGGCATGTGGTTGGAGGTCGAATCGGAGTATCGAGCCTGTTCTGCACTTCTAGCAACAGAGGATCCGGATGGTCAAGTTGAGGTCCAAGACATATACGATGAATGTTACGCGGTGTACGAGCAAAGTTTAGCTGAACTCAACGACCATCTCCAGCCCCCAACTGTCATTCCCGACCGCGCAACCAGCCGTCCAGGTGCAAATGTCCAACGGTTGCCGCCTTCCCCCATGCGACACGGAGGTTTTCAGTGGAGACTACCAGCAGTGGCCCACGTTCCGAGACCTATTCACCGCCATCTACATAAACAACGCCAGGTTGACTCCGGTGGAGAAATTATACCACCTCAACCAGAAAACGAGCGGTGAAGCCCACGACATAGTTGCACTGGCCCCGCTTACGAATGATGGGTTTGAATCTGCCTGGAACCACCTTCGTGAGCGTTTCCAAAATAAACGGCTGATACTCAAGGCCCAGTTGAAGATCCTTTTCAGCTTGCCTTCCATCCGATCGGAATCTGGAGCCGCCTTAAAGGAGCTCCAGAGGTCTGTCCACAAGTGCCTCACGACCCTTCAGCACTCCGAGGTGTCCACCGACAGCTGCTTTGCAGATGGCGTGCTGGTGTACCTCATTACCGCGAAGTTACCAAAGGCGACCGTGGAGCTTTGGGAACAATCGGTTCCGAATAAATTCGAGGTTCCGACTTGGCGCGCCATGAACAAGTTCTTAGAGGAGAGATACCTCTCTCTCGAGGCGACCGAGGACGGTCATCCAGGCATCGAGCCGCACTACAATTCCCGTACGAGCCTTCCCACTCCTGCACCTCGACGAGTGAACTCCTTTGAGGGGAGAATCTCCAACAAGGCGCGCACTTGCGACCTCTGTTCCAGGAGCTACCATCCTGTGCGATCATGCCCAGAATTTCTTCGCCTGACCGTACAGGAACGGTCAAGCTACATTCAGCAGAAACAACTCTGCTTAAACTGCTTCGCGCGAGGACACCAACTCCGGGACTGCACCAGCGCGTACAACTGCAGTACGTGCAGTGGACGACACCACACCCTCCTTCATCGGGGCGAGCAGACTCCGAGTGGCTCCAACGATGCTCCCAGTCCTCACACCACACAAGCCCCTACCACCATACAGTCCACTTCCTCTTCTCTTCCTTCGTCCAACGACTCAGCCCGTGTCCAGAGCTATTGCGCTACAAATGTACACCAGGTGCTACTGGGCACAGCAATAGTGGACATTTGTCATGCCGGCACAAGATACAAGGCTAGAGCCCTGATCGACTCCGGATCTGAGGCCACCTTTATTACTGAGCGGATGTTCAAAATCATTCGGCCCCCCTTCCAAGCCGTCCAGGCTCAAGTCTCTGGTTTGAGTCAAACGGTAGCGGCCAAGGCCCAGAAACTCTGCCACTTCACGATCGGCTCCGCCTTAAGGCCCGGCCTCCAGGTTGAGACCACGGCGTACGTTCTTCCGCAATTGGCGGGTAACCTCCCGTCATACCCTGTACCGCAGAACTACATGACAGACCTTCCTAAACTCCATTTAGCGGATCCCTCCTTTCATCGCAGCGCGCAGATAGACGTGCTCATAGGCGCTGATATCCTTCCATCCATCCTTTTAAGCGGCTTCCGGTCCAACATTTGTGGCTCGCTCTTGGGCCAAGAGACTATCTTCGGATGGGTCCTATCCGGTCCTGTCGCAGCTGACTCGTCTCGAATCATCTCTTCCTTCACCACGAAGATCTCGGTCAGCTCTGACGTCCGACTCGAGAAACTTCTCACAAGGTTTTGGGAGGTGGAGGACCTTCCAGGGAGACCTACGAGCGAGTCAGACTCCATTTGCGAGGAAAATTTTCTCCAGACCACGCAGCGAGCTCCCGACGGGAGATACATCGTCACTCTTCCATTCAAATGTCCGGAAAAGATAGACTTGGGCTACTCGAGGCCTTCGGCCCACGCCCAGTTTCTGAGAAACGAGCAGCGTCTGCAGCGAAACTTGCCTCTCAAGAAGCAGTACGACGATGTCATTCACGAATATTTAGAGCTAGGCCACATGAAACAGGTTCCACCTAGTCATGACTCCGGCCACTTCTATCTTCCACACCATGCCGTTTTCAAGCCAGAAAGCACAACGACCAAGGTGCGCGTGGTCTTCAACGCGTCCAGCCCGTCCTCGAACGGAAGAAGCCTTAATGACGTATTGCATTCAGGGCCAGTCCTTCAGTCCGACTTGACCACGCAAATCCTTAAGTGGCGCGTATTCCGTTACGTTTTCAACGCCGACATCAATAAGATGTATCGGCAGATCCTCGTGGCGCCACAACACACTCCCTACCAACGGATAATCTTTCGCAATCCTAACGGGGACGTTTGCGACTATGAACTCGATACGGTCACCTTCGGAGTCAACTGCGCGCCATATCTCGCCATTCGCGTCCTAAGGCAACTTGCACAGGAAGTGCATCCTCGGTTCCCAATGGCAAGCGACATCCTGGCCAATTACATGTACGTAGACGACGTTCTAGCTGGTGCACATACCCAGCCTCAGGCAATTTCCGCCATCGCCGAGTTGCGAGAAGCACTCGATTCCGCCGGCTTTCCACTCCGAAAATGGACCGCAAATCAGAAGGGCGTGCTGAGCGACATCCCTCGCGAGCACTTACTGCGAGCTGATTTCCTCGAGCTCGAAGAAAGCAGTATCGCAAAGACCTTGGGTATCCGATGGCAAGCGAGTGCCGACGAGTTTTTCTTTGTCCCTCCCGAATTAATCCATCGGGAATCCTGCACGAAACGCAATGTGTTGTCCCAGATTGCGAAGCTGTTTGATCCAGCGGGATGGCTTGCCCCCTTTGTCATCCAAGCTAAGATGTTCATGCAGGAGGTGTGGTTACGAGAGTTAGGTTGGGACGAGGACCTTCCTGGCGATCTGCGTCAAACGTGGGAGACCTTCCTGCAGAGTTTTCCGGCCATCCAGCAGATCCACATACCAAGGTGGATCCACGTCTGTCCGACTGCCAAGGTGCAGATTCATGGCTTCTGCGACGCGTCTCAGCGTGCCTATGGTGCGGCGATCTACGTCCGAGTGGAGCGGCCGAATGGCATATTCTGCTCTCTCCTGACAGCTAAGACTCGCGTGGCCCCCGTGAGGACGATATCCTTGCCTCGACTTGAGCTGTGCGGAGCGGTTCTTCTGGCAGAATTGTCCGCTGCCATCCTTCCACAGATGCCGCTAGACAGTAGCCAGGTATCCTTCTGGACCGACTCTACCATTGTGCTGGCCTGGCTGCACAAACCAGCGTGCGAATGGACCACGTTCGTGGGCAATCGAGTCGCCAAGATAGCGCGCTGCAACTCCGGCGAGCTGTGGAGTCATGTTCGATCGGAAGACAATCCTGCCGACCTAGCCAGCCGAGGTATAGGACCCATCGACCTCGCGGGGAACGACATGTGGTGGCATGGTCCTGCGTGGCTGCGTCTTCCGCAGTCACAGTGGCCGTGTCCACTGGACCCATTCCCGGAGACTGACTTGGAGAAGCGAGCAGTCAAGGTGCTGCATACAAGTAGCACATCCTCTGACATCCTCAGCCGATTCTCGGATCTCGGGCGAGCTTTGCGCGTGCTTACCTATGTGCAGCGATTCATCCAACGATGCAGAGGAGGGTCAGTCCACAATTCCAACGAGGTAAGCGGGGCAGAGATAGCGGCCGCACTGCAAGCCGTTACCATCGCAACGCAGGGCATGCACTATGCGGACGAACATCGGTGCCTTACAACCAAACGTCCTCTCCCCTGCATCGAGTTCCCTACGGAATCTCAATCCATTCATTGACCAGAACGGTGTCATGCGAGCATGTGGCCGAGTCCAAGCCTCCGCTTCCATGTCCTACAACGAGAAACATCCAATCCTACTGCCACCCGCATCCCTCCTCGTTCGCCTGCTGGTGCGCTTCACTCATCACATAGTCCTCCATGGTGGGAACCAGCTGGTCATTCGCCTTCTCCGTGCAACTTACTGGATCCCTCGACTACGTCACGTAGTGAAGGCGGTGATCCAATCCTGTAAGGTATGCGTAATCCATCGCAAGCGACTCCAGACCCAGTTAATGGGGGACCTCCCGTCCACAAGAGTCACATTCTCCAGACCATTCACATACACCGGAGTCGACTTTGCCGGTCCCTTCGACGTCAAGAGCTTCATCGGGCGCGCATGCCGCATAACCAAAGGTTATGTGTGCGTGTTCGTGTGTTTCACCACGAAAGCCATCCACCTAGAGGCCACTTCCGACCTATCCACTGACACCTTCCTAGCCGCTTTCGCTCGTTTTGTCGCGAGACGAGGGTGTCCTCACGAGGTCCAATCCGACAACGGCAGGAATTTCGTCGGCGCATCTCGTGCTCTGGCTGTAGATCTTCTCGAAGCCATCCGAACGCGGACTTCTGCGGTATACAGTCAGCAGGGCTTATCGTGGCGGTTCATCCCTCCGGGAGCCCCACACATGGGTGGCCTTTGGGAAGCAGGCGTGAAGAGTTTCAAGACTCTGTTCCAACGGTCGATGTGTACAGCCAAATATACACTGGAGGAGTTCGCCACCTTACTCTCCAAAATTGAGGCCTGCCTTAACTCTCGACCGATCTCTCCTATGTCCGAGGACCCGAATGACCCGCTAGCTCTAAGCCCAGGTCACTTCCTGATCGGCGGGCCGCTACTCTCCGTGGCGGAGCCTGAAATAAAAGAGAGCGCCTCCTCCATCCTGAACCGCTGGCAACATCTCCAGGCTCTAAACCAGCAATTCTGTTCGCGCTGGAAGACGGAGTACCTACGAGAGTTGCACAAGCGAACCAAATGGCAGCATCCAACAAGAGACCTAGAGGTGGGAGACCTCGTTGTTATCAAGGAGGATAACATCCCCTCTCACGAATGGCGTCTCGGACGGGTACAAAAAACGTACCCTGGGCCCGATGATAAGGTCCGTGTGATAGACCTTAACACTGTCCGAGGCCTTATCAAAAGACCGATTACTAAGGTCGTCCTGCTGCCTATGGAGTCGGAGATCCAGTCCATCTACTCCCGCGTACTACCCGATCCATAAGTATCCGCCTTCTTATCCTTAGGCTTAAGCACAACTCGTCCGTACAACTCTCCTGCACATCATTACTAATCCTCACTTCCGATTTCCGCAGCCACGGTCTCATGATGGCACCCCAGCAGCCCACACGCACCCAACGCAGAAGCACCGAGGGCCAAGCTCACGACAGCAGACGTACCCGAGGTACTATGTCCTACCGTTGCCGAGTCTGCCGAGGCGTCCATCCTCTTAGGAAGTGCGGGCGGTTCCTGCGGCTAAGCGCTGAAAAGCGGTTGCGGGCGGCACTCATCAATCAGTACTGCCCCAACTGCCTAGCCCATGAGCACTCGGGACGCGACTGCCGCAGCGGAGACCGGTGTCGGCATTGCCACAAACACCACCACACCCTCCTGCATATCCCGGACACAACTCGTCGTCGCCCCACATCCGTCACACCATCCTCACCAGCTGGACCTCGAGCTCCGACGACGGCATCCTCCGCCTCCCGCCGACCACGAACGCGGGACACAGCGACTGATCGACGGGCTACTTCTCCGAGGACTTCGGCATCCTCCTCCAGCCGACCTCCGACTCTGACCACACTGCTGCAGCACCGCAACCCGCAGGTACTACCGACCGCAAGCGTCACCGTCGACAACGGGACCACCACCTATGAGACCCGGGCGTTGATCGACCCCTGCCGCCCCATGTCAGCGATCAACGCGTCGCTGGCCAAGGCCTTCCATTTGCGCACGTCCATGATCGGGGATGAAGAAGCCTGTGCAGCAGTGCTCCGGTCACCGATGTCCCCGGACTTCCAGTTGGAGGTCGTGTTCCAGGTGGACCCGAAGCTGCATCTGCGAACTCCCTCCGCGTCCATCAGTGATCGCATACGGAGCAAATTCGATCACCTAACGTTGGCAGACGACAACTTTCATCGCCCGGCCACTGTGGCTCTCATTCTGGGAGCGGACGTGTATGGTGACATCATCCGCGATGGAATGCTGCCGAGTGCCGAGGGGCTCCCTGTTGCACAGCACACCGTCTTCGGGTGGACGCTGTCGGGCGGGTGCCGGCCGTAAAGCATTTCTGTAGCATTGGACTCCCCATAAGTTGCAATACATTGCAAAGGGGGGCGGGATGTTGGCGTTCGACCCCCAGCGTTCCCAACCAATCACTAAGCCACGGCCTCACCGGGTTTTTATATACCTTGCGGGGGAGTTGGAGAAGATGGAGGGACCACAAAAAAATGTAAAAGTCATTCTGGGAATAAAACGTATCTTGCATAGACATACTTGTGTTCTTTTTTCTAACGATTTCCCCCGAGATCGCCCACGTCGCCCTCTGGACTCCCCCCGAAGCCTGCGTGCACCTTCACCCTTTTTTAGCATCTCAAAATAGGTGTCCATATTATAAAAAACTATTAGATTCAAAAAGCTGCATGTTTTGGTTTATCAACCTTGGGTGATGCGTTAGAAAATTGACAACTTAATATAAATAACAACATGGCCATTATAAACCCGAGTTTTGACATTCTCGATGAATTTCTAGTCTGCCTTTTTTGCTGGAGCTCTTCAGTGTCAGCCTCAACCTTGGCGACAGACTTAATTCCGTCTAAGGGACAAATTTTACTGATGGGTCTAGTGATAAATCCATCTTGCAATTTTACCTCTACCACTCTGACCTTTTCATCTTTGCCTTTATGGATTTTTTCCACCTTTCCTATTGGCCATCTGGCTGGATGACAATTCTCATCTTTTAAGAGGACAATTTGTCCTTCTTCTATATTAGGACTTTCCCTCTTCCATTTGTGCCTCTGCTGAAGAGTATGCAAATACTCCTCTTTCCACTTCACCCAGAAATCTCTTTTTATCTTTTGGATTAGTTTCCACCTATCTAGATTTCCAATTTTTTCATCTGTCATTGGCTCTACTATATCTAATGGTGGTCTTCCAATCAAAAAATGACCTGGGGTAAGAACCTCTTGTTGATCAACTCCATTTTCTGCAGAATATAAAGGTCTTGAGTTCAAACATGCCTCTATTTGACACAAGAGCGTTGACATCTCTTCGTATGTTAGGCTGTTGTCCCCGATAACCCTTTTAAGATGATACTTCATGGATTTTACTCCAGCCTCCCAGATACCTCCGAAGTGAGGTCCTGCCGGGATAAAATGCCAATCAATTCTATCTTTTTCAAGTTGCGCAGCAATCATAGTATTTTCATGGATTGCTGTAACCACATCTTGATCTAACTTTCTTGAAGCTCCTACGAAATTTGTTCCGTTGTCGGAATAGATGTTGGCACATTTACCTCGTCTAGCGATAAATCTTCTAAGTGCTGCTAAAAATGCATCAGAAGTTAAATCACTGACCATTTCTAAATGTATGGCTTTGGTAGCCATACAAACAAATACAGCAATATATCCTTTATATGTCTTTTGCCCACGAGTTTTGGAACATTTGACGTAATAAGGACCTGCATAATCTATTCCAGTATTTAAGAACGGGTATGTCATTGTAACTCTGTATTGAGGCAAATTTCCCATTATTTGTTGAGCAGTCTTTTGTCTGTATCTTGCGCACTTTACGCATTCTCTTAAATATTTCTTTAACGAATTTCTGAGCCCGAAAATCCAATACTTTGTTTGGATATAATTACGCATTAAGTTTATGCCTCCATGTAAAGATTCTTTATGGGCATTTTTAATTATTAACCCTGATACGTGACATTTGTCTAAACTTATTGGATGTTTAACATCAAATTCGGCGGCGGAGTTTTGCAATCTTCCACCCACTCGAAGTATTCCATCCGTGTCTAGAAACGGATTTAAAGACAAAATTCTGTTATTTGTCTTTATTTCTTTGTTGTTTTTTAGGCACTGTATTTCTAAACGGAACTGGTGTTCTTGCTGTTTCTTTATAACAACCTTTTCAGCTAGTTTTAACTCGCTTACTGAGAGAAAAGATTGATATGATTTATTCTTGGTTTTTATATGAACAAATCTAATTGTGTAAGCCACTATGCGTATTAGTTTTTTAATGCAGGAATACCTCTCTAGTAAATTGTAAATAGGATCGTCTATTTCGTTATTTATTAATGTGTTTATCAGCACAGCTTCCTCTATAGTTTGCTGTTGTGGCCACTGCTCCTTTGATTCAGCTAGCCATTTAGGACCTTTCCACCAAAGACCACAGTTAGTCAATTGGTTAGAACTAATTCCCCTAGATGCTAAGTCAGCTGGATTATCTTCGGACCTTACATGATTCCATTCAGTATTCGTCAATCTCCGAATGTCATCTGTTCTTCGTCTGATAAATTTGATCTTACTTTGGCCACTCTTAATCCATGCTAAAGTGATAGTTGAATCACTCCAAGCATAGATTTCTACCATATTGTCAAAGGATTCTTTTACTCTTTGAATTAATATACTAAGTAAATGAGCTGCACACAGCTCAAGTTTAGGGATGGTTTTTCTATTTTTAATTGGATTGACTCTACTTTTACTAGCTACTATAGTTACAGTATTTCCTATTTTAGCATACACTACTGCAGCATATGCTTTTTCCGAAGCGTCAGCAAACCCATGAAGTTGAATTATTGACAATTCTTTGGACTTTATCCACCTTGGGATTCGAATATTTTCTAAATTTATTAAATTCTCTTTGTAAGTTTCCCAGTCTTTCCTATCTTTTTTCGATAATTCCTGATCCCATTCACTTTTATTTATCCAAAGCCTTTGAATGAAAAGTTTTCCTATAATAGTCACGGGAGCCAGCCATCCTAAGGGATCATAGATTTTTGATAGTGTCGATAACACAACCCTTTAATTTGTTATTTTGGATGACCCGCAGCTTACATTGAACTTAAATAAATCTTTCTGGGGTTCCCATTTAAGTCCCAGGGTCTTAACACTTTCATTCTCAATAATACTAAGAACTTTATTGTCACCAGTGTCTTCCACCGTTTCTATTATTTCTGAATTGTTGGAAATCCATTTTCTTAAATTAAATCCAACTTTTAGTAGTTCGTTTGAAATTAATTTAACTAAATTTTTTGCGTCTTTTATAGAATACGCGCCAGTCATTAGGTCATCCATGTAGAAATCATTCCTAATTATTTCACTAATTTTTTTGTTCTGGCATTTGTCCGCTATATCCACTAGAACTCTGGTGGCCAAATATGGAGCAGATGCAGTACCATAAGTGACGGTTGTCAATTTATAATTTTTAATTTTTTCCACCGGAGAATTTCTCCATAAAATGTATTGATATTTTTGATCTTTTTCAATTATTTTTATTTGACGGTACATCTTTTCGATGTCCGCAGATACAACATATTCCCATTTTCTCCACTTAATAATGATATCAAAAATATCTTTTTGAACTCGTGGACCAATTCACATTATATCATTTAAGCTTTTATTATTAGTAGTTTTGGCTGAAGCGTCAAAAACTACTCTTAGCTTGGTCGTTAGGCTTGAATCTCTAATAACTGCCTGATGTGGTAAGAAATATTTACCTTCATTATTTACTTCGACCATATGTCCTAAATCCATATATTCATTCATGAATTTAGTATAGTCCACCTTAAGTTTTTGATTCTTTTCTAACTTTTTCTCCAAACTCATAAAACGAGCTATTGCTTGTTTCCTTGAATCTCCTAAGGTGACATCTTCTTTAAATGGAATTGACACAATGTATCGCCCATCTGAATCTTTCTTTGTTGTTCTTATGAAGTTGTTTTCACATAATTCAGATTCGATATCATTTTTGTCTTCTTCCTCCATTTCCCAATATCGATCCATATCTTTTAATTCGATAGTGGTTGCAACAATTGCCTCTTTTCCTTTCGACTTTTTACACCCAGAGACAATCCACCCGAAATCCGTTTTTTAACCTAAGAGCCCATTGATTTTAACAATTCCATTCTGTAGAATATGAGCGTATAAATCTGCCCCAATTATAAGGTCAACACGGCCAGGTTTATTAAAATCGGGGTCAGCTAATTTATACTTTTCCCATTTCGATTTGTCAACATTCACGGTGTTGACTGGAAGAGCCTTCATTAATTTTGGCAATATTATGGCTTCAACCTTTAAAATTTTTTGTAAATCTTCACTTTTAATTTGAAGATTTACTTTGTGCTTCGATATGCACTTCCCCCGTGGACGATACGCCACTGATCTCTGTTTGAGATCGAATTTTTTTTAATTTCAGAATCTGCGCAGATTCTTCTGAAATAATTGTACTTTGTGACCCACTGTCAATCAAAGCCCTCAATGTTTCACATTCTCCATTAGAAGATTTTATTTGAACACGCGCTGTAGCTAACAACGCTTGTTCCGACGTCATGCAAGTGTTAACTTTTTCACTTTTTTGATTG